TTCGTCTAATGCCTTCAGCATTTCAGGGCAGATTTCATCAATTCCAGCAGCCTTTCCATTATTCAAATTTCTCACACTCGTTCCCTGCTTCTCTACAGGCGAGCCCTCATACGGGTGCTCGGCGTTATAGAATTCCTCACAGTAGTCTTACCACTGCCGAAGAATATCCTTTTCCTATGTAAGTGGGTGTCCAGACCTGTCCTTCAAGACTCCGAAACTGCCCTTCTTTTCACCACAGAGCCGATGGATGGTCTGCCAGAATATCTTGTTTCCTGTTTGGAAATTGCACTCCAATACCCCACGGAAATTCTCCCAGGAATCAGCTTTAGTTTTCGCCACTACATTCGCTGCGCTTTGCGTGCTTCGCCATAATGCATAGGAGTAGAATGCCTTTGTTTCCAAGCCATTTTTTGAATAATGCCTTCTTTTAAACTGGCAGTTGCTTTTCTCGTGTCCACCAGGAAATTTTTTTCTGACCTTTAGGCAGGAGGGAAACCCGTTTGAATGCGCAGCATTAGGCGGAGAAAACACAAAAAGCAACAGTATATCTTTACTATTAAGTAATTAAGTACATGAAAGTATCGAATCTGCTTGAACTTGAAAAAGTTTCAGATAGATGGCTTAGTCGAACGATATTATGCAGGAGCAAAAATGTCTTAGCTAAAATAAGTTGAATAACCAGATACTATATTTAGCGTTTTCCATCCGATATACCGTTATTTTGAAGTAAAGTTCGCATTATCATGAAAATAATACCATTTCTATATGAAACCATACTGTCACTGAAAAATTCTGTCCAGAGAAAGGAACGAGTGATTATGCTGTAAATACAGCAAACTTTTGGCCATTTTTCTGTAATCTGAAGATGTTTAGATGGAAATGAAACTCATCTTGGTTTAGTACTCATACCATATGATAAAAAAATCAATCTAAACAATAATGAATATATTAAATCGCCTTAATGCTAGCCTTCAGTTGCAGTGACTCAGAGAGAGGTTAACTCAGGCAACGTCATAATGAATACACATTTCAGCTAAATTACAAGAAATTAAACATTAAATCTGCACACCAGGAGGTGTTTCGAATATTATGGAAAACCCGTAATCGGAAGAACAGACTTTAAAACCTGCAGTAAATGCAGCTGCAGCCAAAAAGATAAACCATATGCGCAAAACATTAAACAGTAGCATAAATTTATATTGCTATTTACACTACTTAACGTGCTTTTATTCAGTGAGCTCTTTCTTTTATTCTACAATTACGCACACTCAAGCGGATAAGAGGAAAGAAAGATGATAAGATCTTCAGTCCAAAGAAATGTTTTGATGCAAAAAAGTAAATACCAACCCAAAAAGTAAACCTGTAACCCAAAGTAAACAACAAGCAAAATAGACCAACTCATTTACAGTTTTATTCGCGCATAGAAAACAGAAAAAATCATGTGTTCAAAACGAAAGTAGGCGAAAAGTCTATGTTTATACGGAAAGCGTCTTGTTGCTTCATCAATGGGCCGAGTATCCACTGGCTGGAGATGGAAAACTTGGCGGGGGAACGCCATTATACGAATAAAGTGCTTGCGGCGGCGGAGGTGCACTGAAACTGCTTGGATATGGCATACCACCAGAGTTCTGCGGAACAGGTGCCGCGGCAGGGGCCATCATTCGCTGCATCCAGTTCATTGCCATCGCCTGTTGCTGGTGAAGTGGAGGATTTACTGACTGAGCAGTGGAGGGTACGTTATTCACCTGATGAAAAAACTAAAACGTATAAAAACTTGTTGAAAACGCTTATGTGAGTTAGCATCGAATGGGAGGGGAAAGGACACTGTCAGGAAAAAAACACTAAAGCAGAAAACAATATTTCAGAGAAACAGAATTTAGAGTATGCACATATATAAAAATTTTTATGCTAAGAATCCTCTTTCCTGTATCAGGCATTTAACATGACGGCAGTCTCTCTAACAAATGTCTTACGCTCCTGTAGTAACAATACGACCTCACTGAAAGTAGCAGTTTCGAATCCAATACAGGGAGCTTTCCCACTTGATGGAAGACAAGAATCATTGGAAAAACTTCCTGACTCAACTGCTCCTCCACCCCCATCCCAAATGAAATGACCAATGGACACTAAAAACATGAGCTTACTCATCCAATCAATGCTGGTAAGTAGAAACAAGATAACAGTATCATGAAGGTAAAAGTGGCATGTAGCAAGTACAAAGCGTGATAAACATAGAAAATCATAGCCCTCAGGCATCAGGCATATGGAATAGCATAAATGTGCAAAAAACGTTTTCCGCAAGGAAAGACTCCTCTATTAAATGACGGGGTTTCGGTTGGATTTCAACGAGGATCCAACTGTACTTTCGCTCATACTTCATGTCTAAGGCTGATTCGCTCCGCCTTTGGCTTCAACACATGCTAAACTGGACAAAGGAAATTGAATCAAAGCAAAAATTAATGAGAAAACTAGATAGAAAATAGGTGATTCGACTACTGATGACTCTGGATGGACACAAAGATGGCATCAGGAACGATAGATTGATTAACATGATTAGATCAGATGCTTGTTGATTTTGGCCATTCAAGTGATGAGAAAACGAAATTTTATATTTACCACAAACCAATAAGGCCAGAACCCACGCAGTTCACAACACAGCGTCATTTTTGTGTTCAGAGAGTAAGCATCATTGTGAAATTTTAGCTGGTTCAAAATAATATAAGTAGGACGAATCATTTCATGAAAATAATAGGAGTAGGATCCTCCGCAGCAGTCTGAGGATCTCTAACAAAGACATGTTACAAAAATTTAAACAAGCATGTCTGTTACTGATACTATTGTCTCGTTATATAAGTACCTTCTGAGTTGGTGGCAGATATTCACGGCTAAGAAGACCCTCTAACGCACTTTCCACTAGTATATGGTTCTTATCGGTGGTAACCATATCTCCGTGATAAGAAAGGGGAGAGTGATGCCAATTTAGCAAATAAACTCTCATGAAAACAGGGCAAAAAATCTTGTAATGAGAAAACGCACCAAAATATCGAAGCCGTGAAAATGTGCATTTCTCTTTTTTAAACCTGACCTTGATACACCTTGACCCCCCCACACACACCAAAAACTGACATCAACAATCTAAAAATTAAAAAGACGCTTCGACTGACCTGCTGCACTTGCTGATTCAGCTGCTGCATCATCTGTTGCTGTTGCTGCGGGTTCATACTGCTCAGGGTTCCCATGCGCATTTGCATGATCTGCGCCATCAGAGGCATTACCTGGATCATAGCCGGCATCATCTGCGATATCCACTGCTGCATTGCCATTGGATTTAAATTGCCAAACGACAACTTAGGTATGCCATCCCCGCCGCCACCCTGTTTCGATCGCTTCCTTGCCTTCCGTCGCTTCCTTTGACGTTCATCGTCCGAAGATTCACTGTTCTGGCTACTGGATTGCGACTGTTGCGTCTTCGAAGCCTCTGCAAGCTCTGCCACTTCTTGACTCTCCGATTCGTCACTACTGGTGCTGGATGCCTCGCCCGACTCTGAAGCGGATTCCTTCTGCCGTCGATGGCTGTGTCTTCGTTCCTCATCTCGCTTTCTGTCACCTGAAGAGTCAGCAACACCACTTGACTCCTTCTGAACACTCGCCAGCATCGCACCCACACCCATTAGCTGCTTTAGGTTACGTTTGTGGCCTTTCCTACGCTTTTCGGGTAATTGATTTTCCGGAGGAGGCACATAACTGGCGCCAGGCACTTCCGTTGTGCTATCCAGATCCGCTAGCTGGATCTGCTTCCGGATTTTACTACGCGACTTGTTTTCTATCTCCTTCTTCCAAATCCTTAAATTCAATCTTCGTCAAAAAAGCATCTTTTAAGAGCATCATCAAACTTTTAGTAATTCGTTTTACTTACCTCTCAAGATGAACCAACATATTACTTAAAAATACGAAGAGGTC